CCATATCCACAGTTTCACTTATGCATGCCCAACAAAAGTGGTCTTACCTGAGGTTCTCCAGGTGAGTCTATGTATCCGCTGGAAATGGTCATAGGTTTGCATTGGAGGACCTAGAAAGTGCCTAGGGTGCATCTACACTGTAGAATGAAGCCACTTTAATTGCCACAGCTCAAGACCTTGGAAAACTAGAACTCCAATGATTCCATGAGCCATGGCAGTTACAGTGGTGTCAAACTGCATTCATTCTCAAAATTTCTAGGTCCTCCAACCCAACTCTATTATTTACAGTACTTTTATTCTCCCCTTCTCACCCCAAAGAGGACTCAGGGTGGATCACAGAACACATATATGTTAAACATTCAATGTCGATTATACAATGACAAAACAGACAACAGATAGAGGTATATTTAGGCCTTTTCTCACCATTCAGCATCTTTTGGAGGCCATGCTTGGTTCCAGACACAGGAGGGTGCTGTTGCTCCATTTCCTTGCCAAACAGCTTTCTTTGGAAACTTTCCTCTGAAACGCCATGCCTAAAATACCTCCCCGCTTAATGCAGTTCTTATTCATCTACTCACATTGCTGTTTTCAATTGCTAGGTGGGTGGGGGAGCTGGGCTGAAAGTTATGGAGCTCACCCTGACCCGTCTTCGAACTGTTAACCTTTTGGTTGGCAATATTTACTGTAGCTGGTGATTCACCTCTACAGCCTGTTGGGATTGGAAGTCAGTTAATTTAACGGTATTCGGTTGTGTCTATATTTTCAGGTAATCATGGTGTGATCAGGAACCTTACTTACTTTACTTACTTAGGTGATTCCTCGTTGTAGGATTGTCTTCCAAGATCAGTGTCCTGGCGGTGAGTCTGTAGGGGACTGTGGAGCCCTATTCTTGACCTGCATGTTCTCCCGCAGTGAGGGCATTGGTTTCCAGGTGGAAGGTGGTCCCGGTCTAGTTGGCTTGATGCACCTTCCTCTTGGCACCTTCCTCTCTTTTGCCCTTCATTCATGCGTCTTCAAATTCTACAGCAGTGTTAGTCACAGTTGACTTCCAACTGGAGCACTCAAAGGCCAGGGCTTCCCAGTTCTTGGTGTTTATGCCAAGGTGTTTAAGGTTGGCTTTGAGCCCATCTTTACATCTCTTTTCCTGCCCACCAACATTTCATTTTCCATTCTTGAGTTCTGAGTAGAGCAACTGCTTTGGGAGATGGTGGTCAGGCATCCGGACAACATGGCTGGTCCAGTGGAATTGATGGTGCAGGACCATTGCTTCAATGCTGGTGGTCTTTGCTTCTTCCAGCATGCTGACATTTGTCTACTTGTCTTCCCAAGAGATTTGCAGGCTTTTTCAGAGGCAATGCTGATGGAATCGTTCTAGGAATTGCATGTAATGTCTGTAGATAGTCCACATCTCGCAGGCAGGGTTGGAAGGACATTGGCTTTATAAACAAGCACTTGGTATCCCTACGGATGTCCCAGTCCTCAAACACTCTATGCTTCATTCGGAAAAATGCTGCACTCGCAGAGCTCTGGCAGTGTCAATGTTGACGTTGGTGGAGAGGTGGCTGCCAAGGGAGCGGAAATGGTCAATATTTTCCAATGTTACATCATTAAGCTGTATTTCTGGCATTGGAGAGGGATTGGCTGGTGACTGGGAACCTATTCTCCATGGATAGGGGACTCTTGGGTGCATCTACACTGTAGAATGTAGTCTGGCACCACTTTAGCTGCCTTGGCACAATACAATGGAGTTATAGGAGTTCGAACTCTACAGCATTTTGGGATTGGAAGCCAGTGAATGTAATGGTATTCGGTTGTGTCTATAGTTTCAGGTAACCATGGTCTGGTTGGGAACCTATTCTCCATGGATATGGGACCCTTTGGTGCATCTACACTGTAGAATGTAGTCTGGCACCACTTCAGCTGCCTTGGCACAATATAGTGGAGTCATAGGAGTTCATTGTGAGTGGTCACCACTGTTTCCCACTCCCAAGAGCAAATTTTGAAGTCTTTAAATGGCACAAGAAAACAACTCTTTACTCCCTCTTTACGTGTCTACAAGCATAAATGTTAATCAATGAAAACAACCTTTTCCGTGAATGATCAGTGGCTGGCTGCAAGGATAATATACAATGCATGGGCAAGTTCTCCAGGCATTTTGGAATATATCACTAATAAAGCTACACAGCCTGCCTTTCTGTGTGATAATCTGCCACCAACTTGAGGGAGTGATCTTTCTGCTACAGCCAAAGTTGACACATGGTGCTCTCAGTCCGGCTTTCTGGAAGCAAATATTATTGAACAAATGCAGGGAGATTTTTCCTTCCAAGATGGCATTACAGCTGAAGAACAGAGCGTGGTTTGAGATATATTTATAAATGCAGGAGAAAAGACGGGCTGTTTTTAAAAGCATGGATGATGTGGCTAGAAAAGCAAGGGGTGGTTTCTCCCGAGGACATTTCATGGAAGGCAAAGGATAGTGAGTTTTCTGTTGAGCTGGGCTATATTTACTTGGAGCAGCTGGAGATCCAGTGTCATTTGAGCTGGAAATATATAATTGTATCATTATTTTTTTGAGACACTCATCTAACTTGGATGTGTGATGATTCCTGTAGTACAAGAAAATAGACCTTGCTCTGTACTCTCTACAGGGAAGAAAGGGTTTAATGGCAAAATATAGTGCCAGAAATGTTTTTAATGGTTAGCCGTACTTTAGAGAAAGCATGGAGTTTGTGACTCCCACATGACCAGTTATTTAATGTGTGAAAACAGAGTTGTGTATGTGTGTGGGGGGAAGGGGGATGGGGTGCTAACAGTACAGAAGTCTAGAAGATGAACCTGTCTGTTCATTAGTTGTGAGTCAACATCTTTCAGTCATTCATTTGAATAAATATGTTTTCTGTTCAATGGAGGTGTGCTAATACTGATGTACTGACATGCAAGTATCTACATACATGAACCAATGTATCCTGCTCCACTTGCACACACAAAAATGGAAAGGCACCAATACAGAATTGGTGGTACCTGATTTGAAAAGAGGTCCATGGGATAGTGATCTAGGGATTTTAGTAGACCACAAGCTGAACCAGAGTCAACAAAAGTGTGATGCGGTGGCTAAAAAAGCCAATGCAATTCTAGGCTGCATCAATAGGACCATAGTGTCAAGATTGAGGGAAGTCAGACCTCTCCTGGAATTACACTACATCTGGAATCACACAACACCCAATTTTGGGCACCAAAATTTAAAAAGGATATTTACAAGCTAGTCCAGTGAAGAGCAACCAAAATGATCAATGATATGGAAGCCATGAATCCTTCTGAAGAGCTACTTTGGGAGCTGGGCATGTTTAGCTTGGAGAAGACTGAGGGTCCTTCCAGACAGCTTCATAATCCGGGACAAATAAATGGGACAAAAATCATGGTACCTGACAGCAGGTCCAGACACTGAGCTGTCAAACCCGGTAAATGGTCCTCTGGCATCTTGACAGGTTCACTTGTAGTGGATTTTAGAAATTTGCAAGATGAACACATGGGACATCCACTAAAATTTTCTTTTTTCTTTTCTTTTTTGTTGGCTCTCTGAAATGTGCTGGATTTCATAAGTGTTGATGCAGATATCAGATTGTGCACACAAGCAGATTTCTTCTCTCTCTTCACCCTCCTGCTGCCTTTACTTTTCCCGCCGTGGAACACTATTTCCCTTTGGAGTCACTTAACTGCCATGCTGATGCCCATTGTGTAAATTCAAGCTCTGTTTAATTTCATAAGCACAAAAACAAAGGAACGCTTGCACAGAGTTCTCATGGGAATTGCTTTCCAATTGTGCTTCCATTTAGCCACCTGTGTGTCCGTGGCTCAATTTATTTACAGCACTCACCAGCTGTTTCAGCATTTTAAAATTTGCACATTTAGACAAGTTTCAGTGTTTTCCTTGAGCGCAGAGATACAATGAAGCAGAGAGTGTTTGAGGACCGGGACATGCGTAGGTATACCAAGGTACTTGTTTATAAAGCTATTGTCCTCCCAATTCTGCTATACGCCTGTGAGATGTGGACTGTCTACAGACGTCACATGCAACTCCTGGAACAATTCCATCAGCACTGCCTCTGGAAAATCCTGCAAATCTCTTGGGAAGACAAGCAGACAAATGTCAGCGTGCTGGAAGAAGCAAAGACCACCAGCATTGATGCAATGGTCCTCCGCCATCAACTCCGATGGACCGGCCATGTTGTCCGGATGCCTGACCTCTATCTCCCAAAGCATTCACACCTAGCTCCAGCAGACAAGATTTCCTTGTCCCACCCTGGTCTTTCCACAGATATATAAACCCATTTTCCTACTTCCAACAGACCTCACTACCTCTGAGGATGCTTGCCATAGATGCAGGCGACGTCAGAAGAGAATGCCTCTAGAACACGGCCATATAGCCCAAAAAAACCTACCACAACCCATCCCAGATATTGTGTGTCATGATCAGAGGTTGTTTTAGTTCCTGAGGACAAGCCCCAGGTTTCTTTATGCAAAGTCAAAATGAAGCTGAAAACGACACCAGAACTGAAGAGCAAGCTTTGCATGTGGCCTTGCAAAAGAGTCGGTATCCCATGCCAAGCTTTGTAAACACCTGAGCCATCCTGCTCCAGAGGATAGCAGAAGAAGCAAGAAGCATTGAAATCTGCTCTAAATCGAGAAATGCATTGACTCTGCTCCATAATTGGACCCGGCCACATCCTCTCTCCAAACTCCAGATGAGGATTTGGTTTCCTTCTCCTGCACCTTTCTAATAATAGCCTTCCAGTCAGACCTTATCAGCTTGGTACGTTTGTTCAGCGGGGCTGCCTGTGTTCTTTGTCAGGACTCCTTTAAATCTCTGTTATTGTTTCCCCTTTCCCTTGGGAAGGCATCGCTAAAAGCCGCAGGATCCTGGGAAGGAGAAATCAAAGGGGGAATGGATTGGAAAATGTACGAATAGAGAAATACACATCTCCAGAAGAGAAGCACATGCTGCTGTTTGGTATCCTTCAGCTATCTGAGGGTTAACAAGCGAAGAGCTCTTGTACAAGCAGGGGATGTTCCTGGCAGTGAAAAGTGGATCTGTTTCTGGATGTAAGAAAACGGCTCACTGTTCAGTCCAACAGCAGCCAGTGGTTTGGGCTGAGACATTTGAAGATCCGGCGTCTCGCTATGAACCGAAAACTGCCTTCCTTCCACAGACTTCCTCTTTGCATCCAGATGTTGATCTCCATCTCCCCCCACATGGCTGGGATTTAGCTCAGGGAGAGATGCTGCTGTAAGGAATTCCCTTTCAGAAGATCTTTGACAGGGGTTCCCCAGCTTCTCTGGATGAATGAGCGCCTTTCAGATCCACACAAGGTAAGCCTTCCCGTTTGACAGAAGCAGTCCAGTTCTCATTCCCGGAGACGACAAAAAAAGCTCTCATGATGGTAGTTTCGATGCTGAAAGAGGTTGGCATTGACTGCTCCCAATCCTGGTATATGTAACTTACTGTTTTCAAACTGTTAACCTAAGAAACTATTTGAATGTTGGGTTGTTGTGAGTTTTCCTGGCTGTCTGGCCATGTTCCAGAAGCATTCTCTCCTGATGTTTCACCTGCATCTATGGCAGGCATCCTCAGAGGTTGTGAGGTCTGTTGGAAACTATGAAAATTGGTAATGTTGAAGGTTTTCATGGCCAGAATCACTGTGAATTTTCTAGGCTATATGGCCATGTTCAAGAAGCATTCTCTCCTGACTTTTCACCTGCATCTATGGCAGGCATCCTCAGAGGTTGTGACGTCTGTTGGAAACTAGGAAAATTGGTAATGTTGAAGGTTTTGTGGCCAGAATCACTGGGTTGCTGTGAATTTTCTAGGCTATATGGCCATGTTCAAGAAGCATTCTCTCCTGACATTTCACCTGCATCTATGGCAGGCATCCTCAGAGGTTGTGAGGTCTGTTGCAAACTAGGAAAATTGGGTTTATATAACTGTGTAAAGTGCAGGGTGGGAAAAAGGAATAGTAAATAAAGAAGAAAATTCAAACACAGGGGAATTCCAGACAAGAAACATCAAGAACAGCTAATCACCTCTCAATAAAGGATTCCCCCCAAGCAGTAACAAACCGTGCCTAAAACTGTCAGGCCATCAAATGCTAATCAAGGTGGCCAATCGAAACATTCCCACCTCACTTCAACATACAAGAGTTTTTTCTCCCACTCTGGACTTTCCACAGATATATAAACCCCATTTTCCTAGTTTCCAACAAACCTCACAACCTCTGAGGATGCCTGCCATAGATGCAGGCGAAAAGTCAGGAGAGAATGCTTCTATWACATGGCCATACAGTCRAAGATATGTACAACAATCCAGTGATTCCAGCCATGAAATCCTTCGACAAAGAGATTGGCATTGACTGCTTCCAATCCTGATATGTAACTTATTGTTTTCAAACTGTTAACCTAAGAAACTATTTGAATTGTTGGTTGTTGTGATTTTTCCGGGCTGTATGGCCATGTTCCAGAAGCATTCTCTCCTAACGTTTTGGCTGCATCTATGGCAGGCATCCTCATAGGTTGTGAGGAAATGTCAGGAGAGAATGCTTCTGGAACATGGCCACTCACAACCTTCAGGGATGCCTGCTGTTGATGCAGGCAAAATGTCAGGAGAGAATGCTTCTGGAACATAGCCATACAGCCCAGAAAACTCACAACAATCTAATGATTGTGGCCATGAAAGCCTTCGACAATATATTTGAACTGTATTGATAAGCAACTTATGTGATTGTTCTGAATGCCTTACTTTCTACATTTCTGTCTGTTTCAAGCATCTGAAGTTGTTGCCAGGGAGTCACGGTAAAGCTATTAACATGGATTTAGTGCTAAGCTAGTTTTTATACATTTGTTCATTGGGAATTGGGTTGACAAATGTGATCCTTTGCAAAATAACAAGAAAGCAAACATCTCAATGTTTAATATAACAGGAGAGATGCAAAACACGTCTTTCCACTAATGTTCTGACCAGAGTAACCAAGCTTTCCTTATCTGTAGTTACCATTTCTTTCGTATCTCCGGAACACAGCTCCAAGGCTTTGTATTTGATGTTTGCCTTATCAAATGAGTGCCTCAAAGTGTTGTATTTTGAACAGAATAGAATGATGGCAGACAAGGAACGAGCCCCCCAACCTTCTCATCTCTGGTCTGGTATAAAGTCAATGTGTATGCCGTGTAGTTAAGCAAATTGCACAGAGTTTGGACAGAATAGTCAAATATAGACCTCAACGAGCATTGGTTTTCATTTTTCTGGAAAGGCTGACCAAAATTGCCCAAATCAAGAGCTCCATTGGCTATTTTTGACCCTGAGCGGTAGATCTGTATCTTGATGTCAGAGAACAATTTGCTTTTCTGTTTTGTGGCCTGAGCATATGTGTGAGAGGATGAATGCTTGGCCACACACACAAAACTCTGTTGGCAGATGTTTTTGGTTAAGCTGTGCCACATTTAAGGCACAGTTTCTTAAAAAGGAAGCAAAGGAGGAATTTTGAAGAACTCCGCAAACCTGTGAGCCAATAATAATAATAATAATCATCATCATCATCATCACCTATATAAATAAAAATGTAATGTTCATTTGTGGGATTAACATAACTCCAAAACCACTGGACGAATTGACACCAAATTTGGACACAAGACACAACCCAATGTATGTCCTTCACTCAAAAAATTGATTTTGTCATTTGGGAGTTGTAGTTGCTGGGATTTATAGTTCACCCACTCCACCAATGATGGAATTGAACCAAACGTGGCACACAGTTCTCCCATGACCAACAGAAAATACTGGAAGGGTTTGGCGGGCATTGTCCTTGAGTTTTGGGAGTTGTAGTTCACCTACATCCAGAGAGCACTGTGGACTCAAACAATGATGGAGCTGGACCAAACTTGGCACAAGCACCCAATACGCCCAAATATGAACACAGATGGAGTTTGGGGGAAATAGACCTTGACATTTGGGAGTTGTAATCACTGGGATTCACAGTTCACCTACAGTCAAAGAGCATTCTGAACCCCATGAATGACAGAATCCCACACTGAACCCCCATGAGCAACAGAAAATACTTAAGGCCATCCAATCCAACTCCCTTCATCAGGCCAAGAAAACGTAATCAAAGTCCTCCTGACAAGGAGCCATCGAGCCATAGATATAGATAGATAGATAGATAGATAGATAGATAGATAGATAGATAGATATGATTCACACACAGAGAGAGATATAGTATCATAGATTTGAAAGGGACCCTTAAAGAAGGACAATGATATTTTACATGTTCCAGGATGGGAAGACCAGACAATCTCTACATCAACTCTGACAAAGAAACAGCAACAAATACTGTTTACCCACAAGCATAAAGAAATTACATATATTAGAAACCAACACTTTCTCATTATTTTCCAGATCAACAGACTGGGTCACAGCAACGCGTGGCTGGGGACAGCTAGTAGTTCTATAGACTTTGGTTCTACCCACACATCTTTCCTTTGATAGTTTTTGTGCTGAGTCTCGTGAACTGTGACACAGCTGGCTGGGAGTCAGCTGAATTAAGATCTCTACTGACCAAAAGGTCATGAGTTCGAAGCCAGCCCAGGTCAGAGTGAGCTTCTGACCAATTTGTGTAGCTTGCTGTCGACCTTTGCTCCCTCCTTCAAGGGAGCCTGGGTGTCAGCAACAGGGTTAAGAAAGCATCCTATCCAGCCCATTATGGGTGGGACTTCCCACAAGCTCCCCGTCCATATCCTTCATTAAGACCTGGATTAAAAGAATCAGAGTTAAGATACTATTCTTTCTGTGTTCCTTTCCGTTCTGTCTGTAGAAGAGATCGGGTTGAATGCTTCATTACAGATGTTTCTTTCTACTCTAGAGGAGACAGGCTACAGGTACGCAGCTCTCTCCCTGCATGTAGCTTTCCAAGGCATTTAAGGAGGCTTTCCATTTCCCAGGAAGCCAGCCCGGGTTGGAGTGAGCTTCCAACCAATTTGTGTAGCTTGCTGTCGACCTTTGCAGCCCGAAAGATAGTTGCATCTGTCAAGTAGGAAATTTAGGTACCGCTTATGCAGGGAGGGTAATTTATGACACCATAAAAATCTTCAGCAAGCATGCAAAAAATGAGGAAATACTTTATCAGTGTCACAAATGGATGGTGAAGCGACAGCTCCCCTGGTGGCCAGAATACCATCATGAAAAAGCTGGAATGTTAAATAGCCTCTGTGTGTCTGTCTATATATGTTGTGTGTCCATGGCATTGAATGTTTGCCATGTATATGTGCATTGTAATCCAGCCTGGGTCCCCTGAAGGGGGGAATATAAATACTGTAAATAAATAAATAAAGTTACACATGAGCCAAAAATGTCATGTGGCAGCAAAGAAAAAAAACACAATGGGATATGGCCTGCAGAAATAGGAGATTAGTGTCTAGATCCAGGTAAATCATGCTACCCATGCTCTATTCTGCCTTGGTCAGACTACACCTGGACTCACACTGTGTCCAATTCTGCACACCTCAATTGAAGGGAGATGTTGACAAGGTGGAATGTATCCAGAGGAGGGTGACTCAAAGGATCAAGGGTCTGGAGAACAAGCCCTGTGAGGAGCGGCTTAAGGAGCTGGGGATGTTTTGCCTTCAGAAGAGAAGGCTGAGAGGAGACACAATGAGGGCCATGTATAAAGATGTGAGAGGAAGTCATAGGGAGGAGGGAGCAGGCTTGTTTTCTGCTGCCCTGGAGACTAGGACGCAAAACAATGGCTTCAAACTACAGAAAAGGAGATTCCACCTGAACATTAGGAAGAAGTTACTGACCGTGAGAGATGTTCAGCAGTGGAACTCTCTGCCTTGGAGTCCAGTGGAGGCTCCTTCCTTGGAGGATTTTAAACAGAGGCTGGTTGGCCATCTATCAGGGGTGCTTTGAATACAATATTCCTTCTTCTTGGCAGAATGGGGTTGGACTGGATGGCCCATGAGGTCTCTTCCAACTCAAGGATTCTATGATTCATCTGATGTCAGTGAAGCATATCCACTATGGATTTTTATTTTTTGCTTTCAAAGATCAAATTGTGGGTGAGAACTGTACAATTTTCTTCCTGGAAATGGTGGGAGAAAGGACATTATCACGAGATAAACATTTGACTGTGAATCTGGGCTCCTCTTTGCTGCACAGTGAGTAGCTTTTGTCAGAGCGCAGGTGCAGCTGAAATTTACAGATCACTGCAAATGGATGTTCTTCATTGAAATACAGTGCTTTAATCAATCCAGTAATGGTTGTCAGTGTGGTTTCCCTTCTTCCCTTCTGCCGACTGATTCAACTAGCGCTGGGTAAAAAAAAAAAA